CAAATACCCCTTTGTTAGAATTTTTTATTTAACAGAATTAACTAAAAAAATAAAATTCATAATTGTTCTCCTAAACAACAATAAAATTATCTAAATTATTAATTGAAACATATTTCCAATATCATTAAAAACTATTAATTGATTTAATGATTTATTAATAAAAGGGACCATTTGTTATTAAATTAGAAATCTCAGGGGATGGAATGTAATTTTCAAAACCACAGGGGTGATTCTTATTTTAATCAAACCTCAGGGGGGTGTAATTGTAATTTACCCTAATTTTTTTTTTTTAAACTTATAGAAGGTAATTTTTTTAGTAATTTTTTGAACACATTATTATTATTATTAACTTCTAAAAAAACTCACCTTGTGTCATTTTTTATCTGCAATTATCTTGAAGTTCAAGTAATTCAAAAAAAAAGAAAAAAATAATGTAAGGTAGGTTGTAAGTGTAAATGAAAAGATAATATTTTTATTGTTGTTTTACAATAATTTTAAATTTAAATTCTTGAATTATATCATTTACTTGCGTATCTCAATGTAGTAGAAACATAGCAAGGTTATTTTTGGGGCAAATGACAGGACAGAGGTGTCATGAAAAAATAATTATAAATAAATAATAAATATTATAAATATTAATAATTATAATTATAATTTTTTTTATTAATTTATAATGATTTTTAAAAATTACCACTGAATGATACGGATAAAATAACAGAGAATATTCATCCACCACGCCAAAACTTTTCTCATTCTTTAGCAGAGCAGAGATGTTTTAATCTGTGGCTTGTCTTTCTCTGTAGCCTCTGCATTTAGTCTCTGATGATTGTATGCCTTTTTTTTTTTTTTTTCAAAATCAGGGGTGTGTTGGATGTTGGCAACTTTGCTAAGGGATTGCTTTGTCCTAACAGCTTTTTGCTACTTTAATAAATTTCAACTTTTTCTTATTAAAAAAAATGGCATTAGGGAGGATAAATCATTTTTTTTAATATAAATATAAATCGATCATACGTCTACACATGTTTGATCAATTTAATTTTGATAATATATCTATAGATGTTCAATGAACTTGATTTTTCTTTAGGATAGTCCCTTAACAAATTCTACAAATTGACTTGATCGAATCATTAAAAATAGATCCAATATAGGTCCACATCCATACAAACTAGACTTGGCAATCTAAAAAATGAAGTAGAGTGAAGGAATCAAATACATAACAAAAAATATTATCACCACAATATTCTGATGATAAATTCTCTGGGAATGAATTTTACAAAGTACTAAAAAAAAGCATAAAACATGAAACTCATCACATCATTTATATATATATATATATAAAGAAGAACCATTCAGATGACTCTGACTTGTTAATCACCTAATGTTGTGTTTGGTTGGGAGATTTGGAGAGGGATTTAGAAAGGGAAATAGAAAAGGTATATCTATATTTCACCTAGTTTCACACACCTTTTCCCTTTTCCTTTCCAAATTCTTCTCCAAATCCCCCAACCAAATACATCATAAATGGTCCCAAACATCCACATCATTATTACTAATAAAAATGTCACTCCAATCACTTTGGCTTTCTTGAATAGAAGAACTGTCACCATCAACAAATGTCTGTATTCCTGGTGTTATTTTCTCATCCCAAGCATGCCCTATGGACCACGATGTATGGTCGTCAATTTCCACAACAGCAATCATGTTATCCCACCACGGTGTCTCATTTTCATCACCCCCTTGTGGTGGTGCCTGTACTGATGCTGAAACCATCTTGTTAAGGTTGTCTCTTGCATGAATGTAATTATCTGTATTAATGGTAGTTTTTCTCTTCAATGTCCAACACAGACTTTTTCAGAAGGTCCGAGGTTGAGGGCGTATGATTCTCTTCGATTCCATGGCCTTCTGTGCCTCGGCTCTCGCTGCTTCTCTTTGATATATCATCTTCTTTCCCAAGTGACCTCGTTTGACAAATCACTTTTTAATCGAAAAGTTAAAAAATCTATAAAAATTTAAAAAGCTAACAACTTATGTAAAAAAGTTAAAAATTCCTTTTTCTCTCTACCTTTTATCCATCTTTTTTTGTAAAAAATTAAAAAGTCATTACAAACATATTAATTTTTTTTTACACTATATTTTAGTCAAAAAATTATTAAAAAATCTATTCCCAAACAAAAGTGTTCAAAAAGTTTTTAATATCGTTCGATGTTCTTCCGGGTAGTCTGCCTGCAATTAGTGACCACCTGCTTAAAGTGAAAATGTGTTTTCGGATAAAAAAAAAAAAAATTCTAAACAGAATTTGAGACAAACTCAAAGTCAAAAAGCATGAGGTGATATATGAAAAATGATTGGGACGTCTTTTTTTGGGATCTTACAATCTCTTTTAGATTTCAACTATTGATGTATGTGTAGGATTCACTTATATATGTGTGGGACTCATATCATTAATGATTAAGATCTAAAGAGAATTATGAGGATCTAAAAAAGGGATCTCAATCATTGTTGTAAAAATATATTGCATTTTTACATATAATATAGGTAGGTTTTAATAATTAAATCAGCTTAGGATTTCTAAGATTTGATTGTAAATAGAAATTTAGTTGTCGTTTGACAAGTTGGTTTGGAGTGGGTTGGCACCAAAAAAAAGTATAAAAAGACAAAATAGATTAAATAAATCAATAAAATAAAATATCACATCTAAATCATAATCATTTTTATTTTTTCTCTCATAAAAAATAAAAAATAAAAAACCAAAAAATTCAAAAGTTCTATCCAAACGGAACTAATTTATCTGAGCAAAATTAGCCAAAAAATTAAAAAGTCAGACTAAAAAAATTATTTCCAAACGAACACCACAAAAGATTAAGGTTTTAGAGACCAAAATTTAGGGATAAAATTATTTTTTCGGGACCAAATATTTTTGTTGCGAAAAGTGTCGTTATTATATTTTTAACAATGAAAATTAGATATTAGTGATGAATTATTATCTTTTTGGGACTAAATTTTTTATCTCAAAAAATAAACAATTTTGAGACCAAATTATTTTGCTTTTAAAAGTCAATTTATTAGTGACATTTTAAAAATTTTGTTGCTAAAAGTCTTATTTTTTACTTTTCGAGACGACTTTTTAGTGACTATTCTCATAACGATAGAAATTTGTCTCTAAATATCTTTTGTAACAAAACTTTTACTTTTAGAGATCAATATATCTAGTTTCTAACATTCTTATATGTTGTAGTGAAATCTTAATGTTGTGTTTGGTTGTGGGATTTGAGGAGGGATTTGGAAAGAGAAATGGAAAAGGTAGGTGAAATGTGAAAAAAACATGCCTACATTTTACATAGTTTCATACACCTTTTCCCTTTCTCTTTTCAAATCCCTCCTCAAATCTTCCAACCAAACAGAGCGTAAGAGAAATTTAAGATTGTGAGACAGAAAATTTGTAATGACATCGAGAAGATAAAAAAGATACGAGACACTGTATGTGTAGAGAAGTGGATTTGTTTTGGGGCTCAGTGACTTTAAACAGAAATTGTTTGTGGATTCTTTCAAATCAGTTACCCTTTAGTACGGAAACATAGATTGTTTCAAGACTCGATACTTATATTGAGTTTTTAGGCATTGTTTATTTCATTATTTGATACTCTCCAATATATAGTGAATTTCTCTCTTCCTTATGGATGTAAGCAAGTAAATTCTGTGTGTTTTTCTTTTTAGGGTGTGCGTGAGTGTGTTTCAATTTACATTTGTCAGATGTGTAATAAACCCAAAAAAAAAAAAAAAAAAACAACAGCAACAATAACAACAACATCAACGGTGATAGCTGATCCCTATTATATGTTACTATGTTGCACTTGCCTGTTTCCTAACAACTTATGAAGTCTGATAATCAAATCAACTTCTTCTATAGTAAAGTTTCCTCTCTTAATATTTGGGTTCAAATAGTTTAGCCACCTTGGTCTACAACTTTTTCAGCATCTGTTCAAACCTGAAAATAACAAGAAAGTACATCACAAATATTTACACTTCCAATAAAAATAAAAATAAAAACAAAACAAAAACGTACTGTCCTAGATTTATGAGCTCAGAAATTTATGGATGAGATGGTGGAGATTGAATTAGTGCAATGTGGATCTAAGTATGAAATGAATCTAGGCCTCAGATTAATGTTTTTGGGTAAATTTGGGATAAATTTTTTTGGAATTGTAGTATTCCAAACAAAAACAAAACAAAACTTGTCTTTGTACTATTTACCTGCTCTGGAAGGAATCTGGTGCCACTTTCCTTGGCCATACTTTTCAATACAAACTACAGAAAAATACACTTTTGGCGACTAAAATTGCCGATTAAAAAAAATTTGGTTGCCAAAAATACACACTCTAGCTACTAAAAAAACTTAGTCGGCAAAGGTGCAATTTTTAGCCACTAAAAAAAATTTAGTCACTAAAAAAAATTTAGTCGTGAAAGGTACAATGTTTAGCTACAACAAATAATGTAGTCGGTATTTGTTTTATGTTTGGCGACTATTGAAAGAAATTGGAGAGAAAAAAATGCAGGGCCAACCTATTTTATTATATTAAGGAAGGCCTGTGATAGTATTGATGATTTTGTTGTCACGTATTTTAGGTTTTTCTAAAATATTCTTATAGTTGATGTTTATGTTAAAAAATTAAAAAAAAAATAAGAGAAAAAAGAAAAGATTTGAAACCAAGATTATGAGTTTGATTGAGTTGGAGTCCAACCAAAACAACTCATAATGTTGGTCTACATAAATTGTTTTTCATGGTGGGTTTTAGTTGCCGTTTGGCAATTGACTTTTTTAGTTAATTTTTTGATTTTTTTAGTCTGGCATTATAAGTTTGTTTAGTTTGACTTTTTGGCATATTTAGATTTTTTTTTAAAAAAAATGAAATGATTATGATTTGAATATAATATTTTGTCTTATTAATTTATTTAACTTATTTTATCTTTGATACTTTTTTTTACAAAAAGTCAATGCCAAACAATTTAATCTCAGTTGGTTGACCCAATCACCACAAGATTAATCAAGATGTGTGTTTTAATCTCTTTTCTGTTTTGTAGTTTATTTATTGAAGATTGTGAAATCAATGACCTCTCAAGACCCTTCTTGTATGGGCTTAATTAGACACAACAAGAGCTCACAAAAGCTTGCCTAAATCAACTTTAATTGCCTGGAAATTTCACTGTTCATTTCCATACTGTCGAGCACGCCGCCATCCAACCATGGCGGTGCTCCACAATCCCCTAGCAATGATGTTGGAGGTGCCCCTTGGGAATGTTTTCTGTATTGAAACTTTTGCCCCTTGGGAAAAGTAGGTTTCTTGAGAAGGTCCTAGGTTGGGGTTTGATGATATTATTATATTTCATGGGTTTTTATGAGCCTTGGCTCTTTCCTCCTCTCTTTGAGCTATCATTTTCTTATGTAGGTGGGTGTTCCAAAAGTTTTTCACATCATTAGAAGTTCTTCTGGGAAGTTTGCCTATTATTAGCGACCATCTGTTTATACATAAACGGTGAATATGTAGAATAACTTTCAAATGTACACAATAAAAATGCAGGAATAAATATCATAATAGTTTAGGACTAATTACCTGAATGGTCTCCTACACTTCATTTATTAATCTTTTAAATTTGTTAATTTAATATCTAAACTACAAAATATAGGTTTAAATGGTCTCCAAAGCTCACACCACCTAAATTAATTAATGAAACTTATAAGTATTTTCGATATTTTACATAAAACCATCAAAAGGGCCAAATACTTACATGGTCCATAAAATTTGTAATTTATTGCATTTTAGTATTATTTTTTTGATTTTGTTACATTTTTTTTATTATAAAATTTTAAAAAATATCTCACCCGTTACTCAAGCCGGTGTGAGCTTTGAGGATCATTTGAACACATTTAATAGTTGGACAGACTAGCATTACAAAAGATTAGGGTTTTAGAGATAAAAAAAATTAAGAATAAAAGTATTTTTTAAGGACTAAATATTTTGATTACCAAAAGTGTAGTTATTATATTTTTAGCAACAAAAATTGGATATTAATGATGAATTATTATTCTTTTGAGACAAAAATTTTTGTCTCAAAATAATCCCTTTTAGGACCAAATTATTTTATCCCTAAAGGTGTATTTATTAGTCACCTAAATTTTGTCGCTAAAAGTTTTATTTTTAACTTTTCAGAATGATCTTTTATCGACTATCCAACAATAGAAATTGTTCCATAAATATTTTTTCTAACAAAATTTTTATTTTTAATGACCAAAAAATTAAGTTTTTAAAACTCTTATATGTTGTAGTATAAATTAATAAAATTTAAAAAATTAGAGACTAGAAGATCGAATTGCATTTGCCGGTTGCCTAACAATTTATGAAGCTTGATGATGAGATCAACTTCATCGAAGGTGAAGTTTCCTCTCTTTATATTTGGCATCAGATAATTCAACCACCTCAATCTACAGCTTTTTCTACATCTGTTCAAGCCTGCAAAAATAGCAAATAACAAACAATATAAATTATGTATTTGATTAGAGGATTTAATGAGAAAAATAGAAAGAGAAAATGATATAGAATGAAAAAGAAAAGAATTAAAATGATTTGAATTCCAAATTATGTTTGGTTGAGTTAGGAAGTGGAAAAAGAAAAAGAGCCAAAAGTGAACCCCGAAAGACAAAATGGGATTGCATTTCCCTCTTACTTTTTTTTCCCTTGTGTTTTTCATTTTAACCAAACAATAATCGCTATGCTTGGTTATCATTTTTCAAAAATACTTTTCAGAAAATTCTACTTTCTTATTTTTCGTGTTTTTTTGTTTTTACTGAATTTTTTTAATATTTTGAGCAATTTTTTTAATTTTTAGACATACCTAACATAAATATACCTAAAAAGTAAAAAAAAATTGAAAAAAATCTTTTAAAAATTCACTAAATACCAAAAATACAAAAAAAAAAATACTAGAATTCAATACATTTTTTATATTTTTATGTATTTTTTAATTTTTAAAAATATTTTTTCACAAATTTTTTACTTTTTCAGATATATCTAAGTAAGGTGCATCTAAAAAAGTTAAAAAAATATTTAAAATTTTAAAAATATTCACTAAAAACAAAAAAACACGAAAATCAAAAAACTCAATTTTCAAAAAAATAAATTCAAAAAACTCAAACCAAAGGCACTGAATGAGATTACATTTCATTTTTCTTTTTCATTTCTCTCATCAAATTTTCTAACCAAACACAGTCTAACACAATTCAGATAGATAACCAATTACCCATCTCTCTCTCTCTCTCTCTCACTCTTTCTCTCCCATATTTACCTGCTCTGAGAGGAACTTGGTGCTAGGGATGGCAATGGAGGGCAATGGAGTGGATATTAATTCTCTATCCCCATTTCCCTATAATAATTTGTCCTCATCCCCCATTCCCCATTCCCCATTCTCCATGGGTACTACCTCCCCAGCCCCTAATGGGTTTGGATTTTCCCCAACCCAACCTCACCACCTTTTTTTTTTTTCCTTTTTTTTTTTTTTTAAATGAAGGTTTATAAACAAAGCTAAATATACCTTCAATTTTATTTTATTTTATTTAGCTTAATTAAAAAATTTGTTTTAAAATAATCAAATATATAATTTTCGCACCTCAAACTTTTATAATTTCATATTGAAACAATGTTTTAATTTTGTCCTTTTGCCACAAACAATTAAACAAACAAAAATGTTAGGACCCAAAAAAAAAAAAAAAAAAAACTTCCAACAGTATATCTGGTTCTGTGAAAAAAAACTTGAAAATCAAAATAAAATGCCTGAAAAAGACCCAAAAATCAGAAATTTCTACACCCATTCAATTATCTCCTCTCACTCCGTAAGAAAGCCAAATCAAATGCAACACGATACCAAGCTCAGTTGATGAAAAACCATAAGAAAAGAAAACAATAATCTCTTTTTCCCGAGCTCGCTCGGCAACCAAACGGTCCTTAATTCATCACACAAAACTAATATTCCACAGCTTTGGTGAGATCATTACCTAAATTCAACAAAATAATATACAAATCAAAGAAGAAAACAAGGTAAAGTAGAGAGATTTATATATAATTCACAAATAACGAACTTTCGATTTTCTTCGCCGATTGATAGAAATGTTAGGATCGAAATTCACCGACTCAACCGTCGATCCTCTATGCACATGCATTTTTCTTTAGAGAGAGAGAAAGTGAGTCCAAGCACCCTTTCTCATTCCTAAACGAACCTTTTTCATAGCCTACGTAAGAAGTTTTGCGTGTGATGTGTGTGTGCCCACCTAACAAAAAGGAGAACTACATGCATACATGTAAGTAGGAGAAGGAGAAAAAGACAATCAATACATGGGGGTCTTTTATTTGTATTTTATTATAGGCACGCTTGCATCCTTTATATATATACAGAACCGACCTTTATATATATACAGAACCGACATGTGCTAAGGTTATTAAGGCTTGTGTCCTTAAAAAATTGATCCAAAATAGGATTTTCAAATTTAGAAAAGTATTATAGTATATTACAAATATAAATAGGTCCAAATTATTTTTGTTGTTTTAGGACCAATCTAAAAGATCCAAAATTATTCCCATGAGCCCATATTTGGTTATAAGTGTGGTTTGGCTTAATTGAAATTAAAATATATACAAAATATTGGTGGTTCTTGAATGAGAAATACTATATACACATACAAAATGGTAGTGGCCCAAAATAGGGCCACTAATTTTTTTTTTTTTTTTACCTTCTTTCTTTATCAGATTTTAGTGAAATAAATAAATTTGTCCTAATTTTTCTTTATTTTCTTTGCTTATCAAATTTTAGTAGAAGAAACAATTAATTCAATCTCAATCACATTCATACACAATATATTCAATAAACAACAATGCAACCACACTTATAAATAACATATTTAATAAACAACAATTAATTCAATATATATCCAATACTTTTTAATTGAATAAAGTTTTCCTAATTTTGATAACTCTTTTTATTTTTTATTTTATTTTATTTTTGTATGAATACATTTTGATAGCTATTTTGGTATCAATCAAAGGTAGTGATACGAAACGGTTGTTTTTTCTTCTTTGTGAATATAGGCCTTCATTTTTGTTTCACCTTAGGCCCCCGAAAACTCAGGGCCGACCCTGTTTATATATTGGTAATTTTTTTTCTCATTCTCCCACTTGCATGCAGTTCCTTCATATATATATATATATATATATATATATGCATATTTCCTACTTTAAGTAATATTGGCCTCATTTAGGAAGTTGGCTATTTTAATAGGCTAAATTTTTTATATTTGGAAAGATAATTGGATTTTTTTTGTAATTGGATGTGATATTTGTGAGAGAAAAAATAAAATAATTATGGGTTTGATATGACATTTTATTTTATTGACTATTTTAATCTATTATATATATATACATATATTGAAAAATGTTTGGTAGCTCGAAAATAGTTGGCTCGAAACCCAAAACGACGTCGTTTTGGATTCTCTTACCAGTAAGATATATGAAAATTCTCTTACCGGTAAGATAATTTTCATTAAATATCTCTCTCGTAAAACGAAACTACCATTCCAAAACGACGTCGTTTTAATTTCGAGCCAAATTCGAGCTCGAAAATTTCGAGCTACGTAGCATAATCGATTTTTTTTTTTTTTGGATCAGCAAAACAAAAAATTTCTTGATGAAAGAGGCAAAATACATGCAACGTTACATCAACAAAGCAGGAAGTGCAAAAAACATCATAGCTAACCTTAACAATCCCAACTAGGTTGGCACCGCAAAGGAAGCACAATCATATGTTAGCACTTGACCCGAGATTGGCGAGAAACCAATCAAAAACAGCCAAAGAAAAACATAACAACTATACAAGCATACAAGCAGCAAAGTAATCCTACAACAGTAGCATCAACAAAGCTTCAACAACAGAGCATTAAGAGGCCAATTAACAAAGCTTCAACATCAGCAGTGCATCACCCAACAGTGCATCAGAAGCTAATCATCAAAACCAATCAGCAAACATCAGCAGTACACATGAAAGCAAACTAGGAACTTTGCTGCCCTGAAAACACCTTAATAGAGCATTTGTTTCATGACTCCATTCTTGATCCATAACATTCAATATTTCAATGCATCAGATTTACTTCACCAAACTGTTGCTACAATACTTCACCATATACTGCCACCAAACTGCTGTTACTGGTCACCATACTACGACCTCATATACAACCAATCTCCAGCAAGCATTTCAGAACATTTCAAAAACTCTGCTGCCATGAACTCCATTTAAATTAACCAAACATTTCAAAACAACGAACAACCCTCATTCAGTAGCCCTGCTTAATTGATGAGACCAAAACAAAACACCAGACTTAAGCCTTAACATTCTACTGGTGGAAGAGAGACTTCACACTACTTATGGTAACTTGAAATAAAGTTCAAAGAGATAAATTTAGAGACAAACAAATAGACTTTTCTTGAGAAAATTATAGAACGAGGAGTAACACACTCTGTCTCTCTAACTCTTACACTCTTTTCTTCTTCTCTCCCACACACTGAACTCTCATAATACAATAGCTATATATAGATAAAACTAATAATGTAAAGGCATAAAAATACAATCTTATTTTGATTTTAAGCCTACAAATCTTGACTTTCCATGCTTCAGCAAATCTTTGATCACAGATTTTTTCGGCGGCTAGGGTGGCTTTCGGTGGCTAGGGTGGCTATCTAGGGAGGTGGCTATCAAGCTTATGTTCCAACATCCCCCCTTAAGCTTGATTCTCTATGCGGCTTCATCCCGAGCATTATCTTCATTCTGTTGAATAGATCATTTTTCAATGGCTTCGTGAAAATATTTACAAGCTGATCTTGAGATTTGCAAGGAAATAATTCCACCTCTTTATTTTTCACATGCTCTCGGATGAAATGATAGCGTATGTCAATATGCTTGTTTCTTTCATGATAAACTGGGTTCTTTGCTAATGCAATTGCTGAGCGATTATCAACATAGATCTCAGTAGGATTTTCTTGTGGAAATCATAAATGCTTCAGCACATTTCTTAACCAACTTGCATGACACACAGCTGAGTTGGCGGCAACATACTTAGCTTCGCAAGTTGACAGTGTCACAATAGCTTGCTTCTTGGACGACCAAGTGAACACTGTATTTCCTATAAAGAAAGCAAACCCAGTAGTACTCTTCCGCTCATCTAAGTCACGTCCCCAGTCACTATCTGAATAACCAACAAGATTGAAATTATCAGTTGGTTTATAGAATAAACAATCATTGATTGTATCTTTGATGTAGCGAAAAATTCTCTTTGCTGCATAAAGGTGTGACTGATTCGGTGTTTCCATATATCTGCTAATCAGCCCTACTCCATAGAGTATGTCTGGCCTGGTGCAAGTAAGATAGCGAAGACTTTCAACTAGGCTCTTGAAATAAGTTGGATCCACATCACCAGCCTTTGTACCTTTTTTGAGCTCCACTCCACTGTCTACAAGAGTGTTCACTGAATTGCAATTTTCCATTCCATATCTCTTGAGAATTTCCTTGGCATAGCCACTTTGGGAAATAAAAATTCCATCTTTTCCTTGTGCCACTTCAATGCCGAGAAAATGAGACATCAATCCAATATCTATCATTTCAAATTCTTGGACCATGCTTCTTTTAAAGTCTTTGAACATGGCTGGATTGTATCTAGTGAAAATTAGATCATGAATATAAAGACAAGCAAGTAACATGCTTCCATCAACTTCTTTCTTCAAATATAGTGCGTGCTCATATGGACATTTTTCAAAACCATTGTCATGAAAATACTGATCAATTCTAGTATTCCATATACGCGAAGCTTGCTTCAATCCATAAAGTGCTTTCTTCAATTTGTACACTTTGTCTTCATGCCCATTCTGAACATACCCCGAAGGTTGTTCAATATAGATTTCTTCTTCAAGAAAACCATTAAGAAATGCAGATTTCACATCAAGTTGATAGATCTGCCACTTGGGCTGGGCAGCCAAAGAAATCATTAGCCTGATAGTCTCCAACCGGGAAACTAGAGCAAACACCTCTCCATAATCAATTCCAGCTCTCTGCTTGTAATCTTTTGCCACTAATCTTGCCTTGTAGCATTGTAGTTCACCTTGTGTATTCCTCTTTGTCTTGTATACCCATTTCACTCCAATGGGTTTGTGCTCCTCCGGTGGACTAGTAAGCTTCCATGTGTCATTTTTCTCAATGGCATGAATTTCTTCATACATTGCTTTCTTCTATTTATCTTCTTGGATGGCTTCTAAGAAAGTAAGTGGATCACTATCTGCAAGTAGGCAGAACAAATTTAGATCTGTTTCTTCTGTAGCTTCATATATCTCCTGTAAATTTCTCATTGGTCTTGGTTGTTTGAAAAAACTATCATCTAATGATGATGATGATGATGATGATGCAGCACTTCTGTGAGAAACTGGCGATCTAGGTGCCGGTATTCTATGTGGAGGAGTTTGTGGCTCATCTTGAACTTCTCTTGTGATTTCAACCGGAGCTTTTGATGTTTCATCTTCAAGAATGAGTTCTATATCTTTAACAACTTCATCTTGATTCTAGTTCCAAGCTTCTTCTTTTTCAAATATCACATCTCTACTCATGATCACCTTTCTGGTAATGGGATTATACAACTTGTATCCCATTGTTCTGTCTTCATATCCGACAAGGATACATTTTTCTCCCTTATTATCGAGCTTGGTTCTTCTTGCTTCTGGAATCTTGGTATACACAACACACCCAAATATTCTGAGATGGTTGACACTTGGTTTATGTGAACTCCAAGCTTCTTCTGGAGTCATTGAATGAAGGCTCCTGGTTAGACATCTATTTAGTAGATACACAGCACATGATACGGTTTCAGCCCAAAATTGCTTGGGCAGTCCCTTCTTTTCAACATGCTCCTTGCCATATCTAAGATTGTGCGATTCTTCCTTTCAACAACACCATTCAGTTGTGGCGTATAGGATGATGTTGTTTGATGCTTGATTCCATGGTCTTTGCAATAATTCTCGAAAGCATCTGATGTATATTCTCCACCTTGATCTGATCGCAATGTCTTGATGTAGTAGCCGCTTTGCTTCTCTACAAAAGCTTTGAATTCTTTGAAGATACTAAACACCTCCGACTTTCTTTTAAGAAAATACACCCATGTCTTCCGGCTATAATCATCAATGAAGGTGAGAAAATGTCTATTCTGTCCATTTGACATTGGCTTCAATGGACCACACACATCAGTGTGCACTAGTTCCAGCGGATTTGTTGCTCTCCACTTCACTTCTTTGGAAAAACTAGTTTTGTGATGCTTTCCAAGAATGCAGCTTTCACAGACCTCATTAGTATGAGCAATATGAGGGAGCCATTTCACCATATTCTTGCTTGAGAACAGCTTCAAGCTTCCAAAATTGAGATGTCCAAACCTTAAATGCCATATCCAGTCTTTGTCTTTGATGATGGCACTTAAACACTTCGCAACATCATGTTGGATGTTCAATGCAAACATCCGATTCTTGGACATTCTCACCCGAGCGATCAAATTACTATGATTGTCTTTGATGGTAAGATGACAATCTGTGTCTTCCATAGATTATATAAGCACAATTACCATTTGTCATAAACTCCAGTTCCTTATATGTGTACAGTGACTACTATGTGGCTGTCCTTGTCAATTGTTTCTACAAGAGAGAAACATATAAACAAACAAAACAAACTTATGTATGAAATTAGTATGAACAAACCTTTGCCTCGTTATGACAATGACGACAATCAAAAATCTCATTGCAACATGGAGCTCTAATGCGGCATCTTCGTCGGTAATGAGAACACCTGTCAAAGTAAGCACAAAATATTATTTTTCTCAAAAAAATTATAAGGAACCTGTATTAAAGACAAGAAGAAAACGGATAAGAACCATACCCATACTGCATGCATCCTTTATCCAGCAGTTCTGTGCTGCTGCTGGTTTTTGCATCGCATGTTGGTTCAGTTGGCACACACTCTCCATAAGAATGCTGAGAACAAAAATCAGCCGCTTCCATGTTTTGCTCTTCACTGGTCATGTGTTGGAGGTTTTTGGGCACAAATTTTAGAGCTTCAGAACTATTGACTGCTACGCCCGCTGGTTAATCTTTTGAATGAATATTAAAGACTACCTAGCAGCTGGTTATGAGCCTAAAGCACCTGCATTTGGGAACAAGTTAGGCAAAAATTCTAAAACCTATAAAGGCATATCTAGTCGCCCATCCAAGCAGAAAAACACTTCAAAGTCTTCAGCTGGGCATAGTAACCATTGGATGATCGATTCTTCAAGAAGATGATCAAACGCATCTAAATTGGACAACACCAATGGACGCCCCAACCTATGGTAAAAGCAATAGATCACAACATCAAATGTGTTCTAAAAGTGATAACAAATTCAGGGGAAAAAGTGCGAGATATTGCAGAGATGAGTTAAGTTGATTGTCCATAAAGGACAAGCCTACCTCGATCTGCGATTCTGCACCATGTCTTCTTCAATAGGTGAAACTTACCCAAAACAACTTCTATTATCATCCAGCCTCCATGGGCTTCTCTTCAATCAGAAGATTCTAGCTCATTTCAACGTTAATCGTCTCTTGTTATCTAACTGTTTGGGTTGCTTTGTAGAAGCCACAACATAGCCTGCTTGGCTGAAAGTAAAGACATCCGACGAGATCTAGATTCCCCACTTTTACAAGATGAATTCTTTGGCAAGATTAGTGGAGTTTGTCTTTAGTAGCATGGATTTCAATTGCTGTTTCAAGTGATTTCACTATTTTCAAGGAGATCGGAACATAAAGGGAATGGGGAGCTTTGAGAAAATATGCCATTGTGAATTCTAGAATTCCAGTGCCTATTCAAAGACTGGTAATCCACAAGCACATGGTCCATACTTAGCTTCCGTTTGGAAAGTGAGTTGGCTTTTTGGCTTTTTAGTTTTTTTTTTTTTGACTATTTTAGCCTAGGGCTAAAAAACCTAGTTTAGGAAGAGCTTTTGGCTTTTTTAGCCTTTTTTTTAGAGAAATAATGTAATGATTATGGGTTGGATGTGATGTTTTGTCTTATTGAGCTAAAATAGACTATTTTGTCTTATATGACTATTTTAGCCCAAATCTTGCTTCCCAAACGGAGGCTTAACAAGGTTAAAATGATCTATGGCCTGAGCAGCTGGTAGACAAAAGGAAAGAGACTGTACTTTGAGAAGTGGAACGGAAAACCAGGTGAAAGAAAGAATCGGATTATTGCAATTTAGCTCCTTGAGTAATTTGACACAGTTTAATGAACCAAAGTTTAACGAACATATATCTTCACCAGCACCTAAGTGGACACCACTACTGAACTGACAGCATAAACCTAAGTCTACTTGATCAATCAAGGACCCTAAGCATCCTGCACACTGAATCCAGATGCAGCGTGCATTTCATATCCTTTAGAAATATAGAAGAGTTATTAAAAGAATGAAATAAACAAGTTACTATCGTTCAATCTGATAAGAATTCCATTAAGTCCTTGTTTATGTTGACACTACAGTTCTATCAGGGTTGAGCTTCAAAGAATTTACCCGACTCAATGACAACATGATTAAATGCTAATGAACAATTGCACTTAATGCAAAAAAGATTTGCCCCAACTAAAGTTTGGAAGAAGATTTTTCAATTGTTCCCCCTTCAAACAATGGAACATCTATCAAATATTTTTTTGTTCTTTCTCCAACACGATAATATTGGCACCCAACTTGAACAATAACTATTGGCACTCAATACCAAGCAATAATAGCATCCCGTGTCCAGCATTCAAGCTGGTAAAACTTCAAGTACAATTGTTTCATCCACTAAAGTTTGGAAGAAGATTTTTCATTTTCCCCCCTTAAGTACAATTGTTTCCTAATACTACAAGGAACCAAAGACCTGTAGAACCCAATGGAATATAGTCCAACACAACAACAGTGGCACCCAACTTGAACAATAGCATCCAAACCAGTACAACACAAAATTCATGTAAAATATCAAATCAGGTATTGATTGAACGCATCCCCCTAGAATCTAACAATAATCTAATAAACACAAAACAAGAAAGCTAGACAAATAATTGTGCTTAAACAGAGACAGCAACCCTAGTAGTACTAGTTCATGCTAGTTCATGCTAGTAGACATCAAACAAATGTGAGATTAACAGCAGCAACCAAAAAAAAAAATCATCATAAGCGATAACTCTATGAAGTCGAGCTACGCATGCATAGAGATGCAGACAAAACTGCGAATTGCCAATCTAGGAACACACACAGCAAAGAGAGCAAATCCCAACAATACATCTGGTCCTGTGAAAAAAACTTGAAAATCAAAATAAAATGCCTGAAAAAACCCAAAAATCAGAAATTTCTACACGCATTCAATTATCTCCTCTCAGTCCCTAAGAAAGCCAAATCAAATGCAACACGATACCAAGCTCAGTTGATGAAAAACCATAAGAAAAGAAAACAATAATCTCTTTTTCCCGAGCTCTCTCGGCAACCAAACGGTCCCTAATTCATCACACAAAATATTCCACAGTTTCGGTGAGATCATTACCTAAATTCAACAAAATAATATACAAATCAAAGAAGAAAACAAGGTAAAGTTGAGAGATTTATATATAATTCACAAACAACGAACTTTCGATTTTCTTCGCTGATTGATAGAAATGTCAGGATCGAAATTCACCGACTCGACCGTTGATCCTCTCTGCACGTGTATTTTTCTTTAGAGAGAGAGAGAGAAAGCGGTGATAGTTTTAGAAAGAGAAAGGACGGAGAGAAAGTGAGACTTTGATCTGCTTAGGCTCATTGTGAGAATGAGAACCTAGTTCTAAACATATGGGGAAAATTGGTGGGTACCCACCCCAATCCATACCCAATGAATATTTGAAAAACACCATTTATCCGACTCCACGGGTAAGAAAAAAAGGGGGAAATCCATATATTTGGGTAGGGTCTCCATGAATATCCATAGGATAGATTGTCCATTGCCATCCCTACTTGGTGCCAAACTCCTTCTCCATACTTTTGAATGCAGTTCCTAAGAAGGAGATCTTCCTGAGTCCAAGCACCCTTTCTCATTCCTAAACGAACCTTTTTCATAGCCTACGTAAGAAGTTTTGCGTGTGATGTGTGTGTGCCCACCTAACAAAAAGGAGAACTACATGCATACATGTAAGTAGGAGTAGGAGAAAAAGATAATCAATACATGGGGTCTTTTATTTGTATTTTATTATAGGGACACTTGCATCCTTTATATATATACAGAACCGACATGTGCTAAGATCATTGAGGCTTGTGCCCTTAAAAAATTGACCCAAAATAGGATTTTTAAATTTAGAAAAGTATAGTATATTACAAATATAAATTGGCCCAAATTATTTTTGTTGTGTAGGACCAATCTAAAATATCCAAAATTATTCCGTTGAGCCCATATTTGGTTATAAGTGTGGTTTGGCTTAATTGAAATTAAAATATATACAAAATATTGGTGGTCCTTGAATGAGAAATACTATATACACATACAAAATGTTAGTGGCCCAAAATAGGGCCACTAATTTTTTTTTTTTTACCTTCTTTCTTTATCAGATTTTAGTGGAATAAATAAATTTGTCCTAAAGAAAAAATAGGACCACTAATTTTTTTTTTTTTTTTTACCTTCTTTCTTTATCAGATTTCAGTGAAATAAATAAATTTGTCCTAATTTTTCTTTACTTTCTTTGCTTATCAAATTTTAGTGGAAGAAACAATTAATTCAACCTCAATCACATTTATACACAACATATTCAATAAACAGCAATGCAACCACACTTATAAATAACATATTTAATAAACAACAATTAATTCAATATATATCCAATACTTTTTAATTGAATAAAGTTTTCCTAATTTTGATATCTCTTTTTATTTTTTATTTTATTTTATTTTTGTATGAATACATTTTGATAGCTATTTTGGTATTTTCTTTGCTTATCAAATTTTAGTAGAAGAAACAATTAATTCAATCTCAATCACATTCATACACAATATATTCAATAAACAACAATGCAACCACACTTATAAATAACATATTTAATAAACAACAATTAATTCAATATATATCCAATACTTTTTAATTGAATAAAGTTTTCCTAATTTTGATATCTCTTTTTATTTTTTATTTTATTTTATTTTTGTATGAATACATTTTGATAGCTATTTTGGTATCAATCAAAGGTAGTGATACGAAACGGTTGTTTTTTCTTCTTTGTGAATATAGGCCTTCATTTTTGTTTCACCTTAGGCCCCCGAAAACTCAGGGCTGACCCTATTTATATATTGGTAATTTTTTTTCTCATTCTCCCACTTGCATGCAGTTCCTTCATATATATATATATATATGCATATTTCCTACTTTAAGTAATATTGGCCTCATTTGGGAAGTTGGCTATTTTAGTAAGCATTTTAGTTTTTAGTTATTTTAATAGGCTAAATTTTTTATATTTGGAAAGATGATTAGATTTTTTTTTGTAATTGGATGTGATATTTGTGAGAGAAAAAATAAAATAATTATGCGTTTGATATGACATTTTATTTTATTGACTATTTTAATCTATTATATATATGTATATATATTTTGGAAAATGTTTGGTAGCTCAAAAATAGTTGGCTCGAATTGGCTCGAAACCCAAAACAACGTCGTTTTGGATTCTCTTACCGGTAAGATATATGAAAATTCTCTTACCGGTAAGATAATTTTCATTAAATATCCCTCTCGTAAAACGAAACTACCGTTCCAAAACAACGTCATTTTAATTTCGAGCCAAATTCGAGCTCGAAAATTTTGAGCTACGTAGCATAATCGATTTTTTTTTTTTTTTTTTTGGAACAGCAAAACAAAAAAATTATTGATGAAAGACAAAATACATGCAACATTACATCAACAAAGCAGGAAGTGCAAAAAACATCATAGCTAACCTTAACAATCTTAACTAGGTTGGCATCGCAAAGGAAGCACAATCATATGCTAGCACTTGACCCGAGATTGGCGAGAAACCAATCAAAAACACCCAAAAAAGAACATAACAACTATACAAGCATACAAGCAGCAAAGTAATCCTACAACAGTAGCATCAACAAAGCTTCAACAAAGCTTCAACAACAGAGCATTAAGAGGCCAATCAACAAAGCTTCAACATCAGCAGTGCATCACCCAACAGTGCATCAGAAGCAAATCATCAAAACCAATCAGCAAACATCAGCAGTACACATGAAAGCAAACTAGGAACTTTGCTGCCCTGAAAACACCTTAACAGAGCATTTGTTTCATGACTCCATTCTTGATCCATAACATTCAATATTTTAATGCATCAGATTTACTTCACCAAACTGCTGCTACAATACTTCACCATATACTGCCACCAAACTACTGTTACTGGTCACCATACTACAACCTCATATACAACCAATCTCCAGCAAGCATTTCAGAACATTTCAAAAACTCTGTTGCCATGAACTCCATTTAAATTAACCAAACATTTCAAAACAATAAACAACCCTCATTTAGTAGCCCTGCTTAATTGATGAGACCAAAACAAAACACCAAACTTAAGCCTTAACATTCTGCTGGTGGAAGAGAGACTTCAAATTACTTATGGTAACTTGAAATAAAGTTCAAAGAGATAAATTTAGAGACAAACAAATAGACTTTTCTTGAGAAAATTATAGAACGAGGAGTAACACACTTTGTCTCTCTAACTCTTACACTCTTTTCTTCTTCTCTCCCACACACTGAACTCTCATAATACAATAACTATATATAGATAAAACTAATAATGTAAAGGCATAAAAATACAATCTTATTTTGATTTTTAGCCTACAAATCTTGACTTTCCATGCTTCAGCAAATCGTTGATCACAGATTTTTTCGGCGGCTAGGGTGGCTTTCGGTGGCTAAGGTGGCTGTCTAGGGAGGTGGCTATCAAACTTATGTTCCAACATCCCCCCTTAAGCTTGATTCTCCATGCGGCTTCATCCCGAGCATTATCTTCATTTTGTTGCACAGATCATTTTTCAATGGCTTCGTGAAAATATTTACAAGCTGATCTTGAGATTTGCAAGGAAATGATTCCACCTCTTTATTTTTCACATGCTCTCGGATGAAATGACAGCGTATGTCAATATGCTTCTTTCTTTCATGATAAACTGGGTTCTTTGCTAATGCAATTGCTGAGCGATTATCAACATAGATCTCAGTAGGATTTTCTTGTGGAAATCATAAATGCTTCAGCACATTTCTTAACCAACTTGCATGACACACAGTTGAGTTGGCGGCAACATACTCAGCTTCGCAAGTTGACAGTGTCACAATAGCTTGCTTCTTGGACGACCAAGTGAACACTGTATTTTCCATAAAGAAAGCAAACCCAGTAGTACTCTTCCGCTCATCTAAGTCACGTCCATAGTCACTATCTAAATAACCAACAAGATTGAAATTATCAGTTGGTTTATAGAATAAACAATCATCGATTGTATCTTTGATGTAGCGAACAATTCTCTTTGCTGCATAAAGGTGTGACTGATCCAGTGTTTCCATATATCTGCTAATCAGCCCCACTCTATAGAGTATGTCTGGCCTGGTACAAGTAAGATAGCGAAGACTTTCAACTAGGCTCTTGAAATAAGTTGGATCCACATCACCTGCCTTTGTACCTTTTTTGAGCTCCACTCCATTGTCTACAAGAGTGTTCACTGGATTGCAATTTTCCATTCCATATCTCTTGAGAATTTCCTTGGCATAGCCACTTTGCGAAATAAAAATTCCATCTTTTCCTTGTGCCACTTCAATGCCAAGAAAATGAGACATCAATCCAATATCTGTCATTTCAAATTCTTGGACCATGCTTCTTTTAAAGTCTTTGAACATGGCTGGATTGTTTCCAGTGAAAATTAGATCATGAATATAAAGACCAGCAAGTAACATGCTTCCATCAACTTCTTTCTTCAAATATAGTGCATGCTCATATGGACATTTTTCAAAATCATTGTCATGAAAATACTAATCAATTCTAGTATTCCATACATGCAGAGCTTGCTTCAATCCATAAAGTGCTTTCTTCAATTTGTGCACTTTGTCTTCATGCCCATTCTGAACATACCCCGAAGGTTGTTCAATATAGATTTCTTCTTCAAGAAAACCATTAAGAAATGCAGATTTCACATCAAGTTGATAGATCTGCCACTTGTGCTGGGCAACCAAAGAAATCATTAGCCTGATAGTCTCCAACCGGGAAACTAGAGCAAACACCTCTCCATAATCAATTCCAGCTCTCTGCTTGTAATCTTTTGCCACTAATCTTGCCTTGTAGCATTGCAGTTCACCTTGTACATTCCTCTTTATCTTGTATACCCATTTCACTCCAATGGGTTTGTGCTCCTCCGATGGACTAGTAAGCTTCCATGTGTCATTTTTCTCAATGGCATGAATTTCTTCATCCATTGCTTTCTTCCATTTATTTTCTTGGCTGGCTTCTGAGAAAGTAAGTGGATCACTATCTGTAAGTTGGCAGAACAAATTTAGATCTGCTTCTTCTGTAGCTTCATATATCTCCTGCAAATTTCTCATTGGTCATGGTTGTTTGAAAAAACTATCATCTGATGATAATGATGATGATGATGATGATGATAATGATAATGCAGCACTTCTGTGAGAAACTGGCGATCTAGGTGCCGGTATTCTATGTGGAGGAGTTTGTGGCTCATCTTGAACTTCCCTTATGATTTCAACCGGAGCTTTTGATGTTTCATCTTCAAGAATGAGTTCTATATCTTTAACAACTTCATCTTGATTCTAGTTCCAAGCTTCTTCTTTTTCAAATATCACATCTCTACGCATGATCACCTTTCTGGTAATGGGATTATACAACTTGTATCCCATTGTTCTGTCTTCATATCCAACAAGGATACATTTTTCTCCCTTATCATCGAGCTTGGTTCTTCTTGCTTCTGGAATCTTGGTATACACAACACACCCAAATATTCTGAGATGGTTGACACTTGGTTTATGTGAACTCCAAGCTTCTTCTGGAGTCATTGAATGAAGGCTCCTGATTGGACATCTATTTAGTAGATACACAGCACATGATACGGCTTCAGCCCAAAATTGCTTGGGCAGTCCCTTTCCTTTCAACATGCTCCTTGCCATATCTAAGATTGTGCGATTCTTCCTT